AGCTAACATCATATAAGTAACCTACTTATTGCCATCAATATAACATTGATATTTAGTCCTAACTTCAATGTCAACATCCTTATAAAGGACAAAAATAATTGGATTTTTCAATAACATATAATATTTTTTTTTATAGCAACTCTCACATTTTAATACCATTCTAAGAAGTTTGTTTAAGTCAATTTATTAGTGTCAAATATGGTATGTAGGGATATATTTATTTACTCATAGTAGTCTATCAACGTATTCATGTAAAGACATAAATAATTATAATTAGATTTAGATAAGCTCTTTGATCATAATTTGATCTTTTATTATTTTCCTACAAATTAATAGCCCTCACTACTAATTCGAGAAACATTACTTAGATCTCCTAGTGGGTTAGGATATCATTTAATCTATACTACCTCTAATTTTATATGATTATAAGTAACTCATCCAAATTATATATGTTAGTTTAGTAGGTCCTAATTTTATAGTATTAAATAAATTTTATTAATGATAAATTTTACTAACAAATTATCCATGAATAGAACTACGGTTTTATGCAAATAAAACCGGAAGGCAACAAATCATATTTTTAATATATACTTAATATATTAATTAGATATTTATTATTTTAATTAAGATTCATTCAATGGCATTAGTGACATATCATATCTAACAATTATATATAAATATACACCCCTATCATGTTATTCTAATTGGATGATTATGGATATACTAAACTAATTCCTTCGAGTCATTGAAAGGAATTAAATGGTCAAAACCTATATAGTGGTTGCAAATCTTCATAAATCTTTTGTGAGCATCAATGTCGTGGCTTTCCTTATCGTTCTTTCTTTATCTTTGATTACAAAATATATTTTTCAATCTAAATTTATATATCTTTAAATTATATAACATTTATATAATTGTATAAGAAACCTCAAGTTATATTTAAGAGGATTTAGAAAAGAAAATAATTTTACAACTCAGAAGAAAAATAGAAAAAATGAAGGCCATTCACACACCTTATTTATTACTACAATCATTCAACCATAAAAAGACGTTCACTTTGGTTTTTAAGGTCCATAACCATCCATCATACATAATAACATATTAATATGCACAATAAAATTATTTCACGCTTTAATTCTAATTATTCGCTTTATATGCAATTTTAAAATAATATTTCTAACATTTCAAAATATTAAATCATATCCAATTTGATTATTTCCCAAACATAATAAATTTTATCTAATATATTTTTTCTTTGAAAAACAATTTTTAAAATTTAGGAGAAAATTAATTATATTAAAATTCTTATTAAGATCCTAAACTATCAAATAAATAAAATTCTATGGATTAAAAACTCCTTTTTTTTTAAATTATATAACATTTATATAATTGGATAAGAAACCTCAAGTTATATTTAAGAGGATTTAGAAAAGAAAATAATTTTACAACTCAGAAGAAAAATAGAAAAAATGAAGGCCATTCACACACCTTATTTATTACTACAATCATTCAACCATAAAAAGACGTTCACTTTGGTTTTTAAGGTCCATAACCATCCATCATACATAATAACATATTAATATGCACAATAAAATTATTTCACGCTTTAATTCTAATTATTCGCTTTATATGCAATTTTAAAATAATATTTCTAACATTTCAAAATATTAAATCATATCCAATTTGATTATTTCCCAAACATAATAAATTTTATCTAATATATTTTTTCTTTGAAAAACAATTTTTAAAATTTAGGAGAAAATTAATTATATTAAAATTCTTATTAAGATCCTAAACTATCAAATAAATAAAATTCTATGGATTAAAAACTCCTTTTTATTTTAGAAAAAATATTTTTCTAAATATTATTTTAATTAAAAAATTAATTTAATCCTAACCCAATTAGGATATTTCAAAACACAAATTTTTTTAATTAAATTTTTTTATTCAATCCTAATCCTATTAGGAAAATTAATTCTATAACTAATTTAATTTAAGGTTTTAATTTTAAAATATAAAATCATTGTTTTATATATAAAGGGGTAGAATCATAATTCTATCACAAAATAAATATTCTAATAAAACATAAGTGGGGGAGGCAGAATTGTAATTTTTTCCTAAAACTAAAATTTAATAAGGCATAAGACATAGGAGTATAATCTTAATTCTACCCCAAAACCATAAAAAGATAGCTACAGGGGCCTAGTTGTAACTATGCCTCTTGTCTCATTCTTTTTTGCTGTCGTCAGTAGTGGCCTCACTGGCCACTGCCAGCGATTGCAACCAAAGCTGCAGAAAAGGTTGTCGCTGCGTCACTTACAGCGCGAGGCAGTAACCCTACTCTACATCTGCCACCACCATGCGTGGTGGGGCAGTAGCCATAGTTGCTTCCCCTCCTACTAGTATTAAACGCTAGCAGATCTAGTGCTTCTTTTGGTAGCACATCAGCACCCCAAGCGTTGCTCCTAGTGAGGCAGCACTGGTTGCCGCCTCTCACATAATAGTGAGTGAGCAAGTCCAGCGCCCTTGTTGATGGCGTTGCCATTTGTTTTTGGCATTCTAGCCACATTCAAATAATATGGCTAGATCTTACATTTTGAAAAACAAGTACATGAGAGAAAAATTAATTTTCGAAAATTAATTTTTGCACATAAAATTAACAAGAAATTAATGTCAATAATAATTAAAACATGCAATCAACAAGCCTAATTATTTAATGATAATTCATATATTATTGTTGGATTTTTTGAAACACATAAACAAAGCAAAAACTATAAATTTAAAAAAAATTCAAGCATCCTCAAAATCTCATTAAATAGATTTATAGATATTTAGAGTTTATATGAAATTACTTGAAGATCAAATATTTATTTTAACTTTGAATATTTGCTTTAAAGTTGTGTTGTCACGAACTAGAAACTGTTTAAAAGTTTGAATTTTAACATTTTAACTTTGAATATTTGCTTTAAAGTTTGAATTTTAATAATAATTCACACAAATCACTAATAAGAAATTTTCTAAACGTTTTTAGGAGAAAAGGATTACTATACCTTATATTTGCTATCTCTTTTTTTTTTTATCTGTTTTAGATATATATTATACTCTACTTACCTTTACATCAATTTTCATAAGAAATAAAAAGCGTAAAATTCTATTTATAGAGAGACCTAAAAACTCTATAATTAAATGAAAAAAAATATCACATATTATTTTAGGTTAATTTTAGAAATTTTTTCAATCAAGTGCTAACTTAATTGTTTCTAAGTTTAGAATTCTAAACCCATATATCAATTACATTATAATCCTTAATTTCTAAAATTTATTTACAATTAAGTCACACTTGATTAATTATTCTATTTTAATTTATGAATAGTGGTTCTTATATATGTGACCTATTAAGCTTTCTAATAAGTTGGCTCAAATATAAATCACAATCCTAAACACAATAGGATTCGATAAATTAAGCAAATTGATTTATTATCAAATCAATAATTAATTAATTTATACTTGAAAATCAAGTATAATGTCCAGCAAACTTTTATGATCCCCTAAATATTAGAAAAGTTATAAGTGATTTGACTTAACATTTTAATAACTAGTTTCTTAGTGTAATTATTATCATTTCATTAATAATATTATAATTTAGACATTATAGCGTAGAGTATGCCTACTCTATCAAATTATGTTTGTTCTCAATAACATATCATTGATTATTTGAATAAGATTTGAAACTCTTTTTAAATCTCATTCCACCTTGCGTTATGATTTATAATAAATACTATTTGAGAACAGATGAAACATTTTTCTAATTCATCAAAGGTAATAAATCCTCTCTTAAGTACCGAGATACCTCATATAGTTCATATTATACTCATTATCTACCTATTTGTTACTCTTAATATGGACAACGTGTAGCAGGATCAAAATATAACACCTCCTGTAAAAGATAACTTAATGATTTGAAGTCTAAGTATCACTTACACAACCATTACGTTAGCGTTTTCATAAACATATGTGATCTTCTCATATGGGTCAATTTAGTGTACATATCATCTAACAAGCACCTACATATTAGTTCTTGGTATCCCTCGTATCTTAGTTTATGAGAATAAATGCTTTTTTTATAAAAAAAAAAACATAATATATCAATATCAACAACTTTAATTAATGTTCAATTTTAATAGAATATTGACCAAGAATATTCAAGAACAATTTTTTTATACAATAAAAGTTTTATAATTATAACAACTTTATAATTGTATTTGTAAAATATTTTTATCCAAAATTTTTTATCTATTCTCTAGATTTATTAATTAAATATTTAATAAATATTAAAGATAAATAAATCTTTATTACTAAATTAAATACATATACATAAAAAAAAAATCAATATCACGTGTACTCAACTTATTCTCCCCGAAACCATAAGCATATATTCAAACCGAAAGAACCTGACTTCGTGCAGTGCCATACAAGCTTGTGTTCGGCGAATCTAAAGTTTTGCATTATCTGAGTAGCTTCAAGAGGAAAGAAGATAGGCTCAATCAACGTGGAACTCAAGTTTCCTGAAGATTAATCAAGAAGGGAAGCCATAACAGCATCGGGACGATCTAATATCCTCGGTGGAGACCAAATTCTGAGGCCATTCTGCTCAGGAAGTTATCCTTTCATATCCTGACTGACGATCCATTACAAATACGTCATCGACTCCCTTACTGAATCAAATTCCTCCAAAGCCAGGTATGGTTAACATTACCCTAAATATCAGCTTCAAGAAAAGGTTGATTTGGAAAGTATTTCTTCTGCATAACCGTACAAAGAAGAGATGCACGATCATTTGCCGAAGTAAATGCACGGAAACTTCGAAACCCCATGCCTCGTAATTACTTTGATTTGAACATGTCTGGCCATTTAGCACAATGTATCCTTCCTTCCTCAACTTGCTTCCCACAACAAAAATTTGCAACTACAGAATCTAATTCATCACACAGAACCTGGGGAAGGAGAAAGCAGCTCAAGATGTATATGGGAATAGACTGTACCATAGCTTTGATAAGAACTTCTTTTCCGGCAGTGGATAACTTTTTCCTTCCAGCCTTATAAGTTTCTCCAAAACCTTGTCTCTCACCATGGAAAAAACGAGTTTCTTGGACCTGCCTATGAGAGTAGGTAGACCAAGATATTTCTCGTGGTGATCAACTGCCTTAACTCTTACCCTAGATTGAATTGCTTGCTGAGCCATTTTTGGAACATTTCGGGTAAAAGTGAGCTCCATCTTTTCGAGTTAACTTTCTGTCCAGATGCCTCCTCATAGACGCAAAGGATTTGAGAATTCTATTTGCTTCATACGGATTTGCTCTAGAAAATAGCGAACTGTTATCTGCAAAGAACAAGTGGGAGAAAGGCTATTCGCTTCTATAGCAAATCATCTCAAAGTAGCTTTGTTTCTGGTAGACTAGCTATAGCAAATCATCTCAAAGTAGCTTTGTCATCTGTTATAGATAAACCAAAACGTGCTTTTGTTTCTGGTAGACTAATAACTATAATGCATTTAGCACTTTTTACTTGCAAGGGAAATATCAGAAACAAGGCTATCTATCTCTGAAATTGGATGTAAGTATAGAATTTTTTTTACAAGCTGCTATGTTAAAATTGGGTTTTGCTTAGAATGAGTACTTTTAAAAATAAGAATGCAAAGAATACGTCAATGAATAAAAGGACATGAAAATAAATAAAGTAAGAATGTAAAAGAAAATAAAGTAATACAAAAAAAAAAGATTGCATAAAATTGAAGAAAGAAATTAAAAATGTGGGGTTGGCCATCATTTTCACCATTAAATGACCTATTTATATTCGTATAGGGTTTGAGTTCCACATAAATATATAATTCTAATTCTGTATAAATTGTTTATATCAAATAAGAAGCTTAATCATAGAATCTTAATACAATTATTGTCACATACATTCCAATTAATTCTACAATTCTAGATAGTTTGATACGTTGAGGATTCTTATTATGAGTAAGATTGAATGTTTTTATTGATTGTGCAAGCCCAAATTCTTGCAATTAATTAATTAATTGCTTCTATGTGGTTAATCATGACTCTTGATCAATTAGAATTATTTAATTTTGACCAACTTTATTATTCATTATTGGTTTTAGCTTTTTTCTTTTTTATTTGGCTATGAATAATAAATGTTCTTACACTGTTGATATATAGAAGATATTTTTGATGTAAACAACATCCTTATTTTTTTTTTATTTCTTGAATGAAAAAATATTTTCTCATTATATTTATATTTAAATTGGTCAATCAAATCAGTCATCAATGATATGTCAAGTGACATTGTTCACCCAGAAATATTTATCATACTTATAAATATATAATATATTAGCCAATTAAATAATTTTCAAAGCAACACATGCTTTAAGTGTGTGACATTTAGAATTGAATAAATTATATGACCAACCTACAATTAATGCCTAGTTTGTTATCTCTTTTATAATATTCTTAAAATCTTTCAAAAAAAAATATAATCCAAAAAAATCTAAATTATTATAGAAATGGTATCTTCAAATTCTTATCCTTATCATACAAAGTGCATCTCCCTTATAGACTGGTGCATTCTAAACAATGCTCTAAAAAATATGTTAAAAGAAACCCTTAGCCTATACAAAGAAAGAATTCATAAGGAAAAAAGAAAGAGTCATCTTATTTGAGATGATCACATAAACCTCCACATATGAAGAAACATATTATTTCATGATCTTCCGTGAATGCAAACTATATTGATCTAGCTCAATAAAATGTAACAATGCTTTGGTGAAAAAAAAATTATATGACTCAATTGTCTAAACTATTTTGTGCAAGCCCAAATTCTTGCAATTAATTGCTTCTATGTGGTCAATTATGACTCTTGATCAATTAGAATTATTTAATCTTGACCAACTTTATTATTCATTATTGATTTTAGCTTTTTTCTTTTCTATTTAGTGATGAATAATAAATGTTCTTACACAGTTGACATATAGAAGATATTTTTGATGTAAACAACACCCCTTTTTTTTTTTTTTTTGAATGAAAGAATATTTCCTCATTGTATTTATATTTAAACTGGTCAATCAAATCAGCTATCAATAATATGTCAAGTGACATTGTTCGCCCAGAAATATTCATCATACTTCTAAATATATGATATATTAGCCAATTAAATAATTTTTAAAGTAACATATGCTTTAAGTTTTAGGTGTGACATTTAAAATTCAATAAATTATATGACCAACCTGCAATTAATGCCTAGCTTGTTATCCCTTTTATAATATTCTTAAAATCTTTCAAAAAAAATATAATCCAAAAAAATCTAAATTATTATAGAAATGGTATCTTCAAATTCTTATCCTTATCATACAAAGTGCATCTCCCTTATAGACTGGTGCATTCTAAACAATGCTCTAAAAAATATGTTAAAAGAAACCCTTAGCCTATACAAAGAAAGAATTCATAAGGAAAAAAGAAAGAGTCATCTTATTTGAGATGATCACATAAACCTCCACATATGAAGAAACATATTATTTCATGATCTTGCGTGAATGCAAACTATATTGATCTAGCTGAATAAAATGTAATAATGCTTTGGTGAAAAGATAGAAAAAAAAATTACATGATTCAATTGTCTAAACTATTTGTTAAGGTATAAGAATCATTGATCGTCAACTCTTTGTTTCATGGAGACTTGATATTTGACCAATCTTTCTTCAACGAGTAGAAAAGGAAGTTCACATATATTTCAACTTCCTAAAAGATTTGCTCATTTTTTATTTTGCAATTACCAATAACAACACCTATATAAAGACTTTTCTTCAATTAGAACTTCACAATCGCCTTAGTTTTATTATCCTTAGACACCAATAAAATAGCAAAGAGGAGAATTTGTTATGGGCTATAAAAACTAAACCCCCTAAAAACTAACTAGAAATATAAGATAGATGGAGAGTTTCAGAAGAATTAGTATGAAAAACAACCTAATTATAAGGCTTAAAACAAAAATAATATAATTCTATAACTATTTCACACTAGTAATCTCCTTATCAATCCTATAATTTCCTTATAAATCTCATTTTCTACTCCTATATAAGCATTGTACTTATTTAAGTAGCAATCTCTAATTGATCAAAACTGGAACTTCTCATCTTAATTTCTCAAAGGAAAAGCATATCTTTTAAGAACTTTGGCAATTGTATATATACTCTCTTAGTTTGGGGACCACTTCCTAAATTTGGATCCTTATAGATAATAGATAGTATGGCCATAGACAATAGTTATCTAATTGTAAAAATTTTTTATTAAACTTGTTTTTATATGTCCCCTATAACTTTTTTTTTATGTGATGGTAAGTGATCTAACATAATAATTCTCATATCATTCAAATCATTTAACTTTATTAACATGGTTAATTGATCATCTAAGTTATCTGTCATAAATGTAGCCCTCTAACTAATTGTACTAAGAGTTCTATAAGCAATATAAAATCATGGTCATAAGTTATAGTAAATGGTGAAACTCCTAAATAAATCTTCTTTAAAGTCTAATATGCTTATAATACATTTGATAATACATGATGTCAAGTTTTTAGATTGTTTCTAACCAATTTTTGTCACTTAAGAATCAAAGTTTTATGGGTTGGTTATGCTTTTTTATAAAATGAATTATTTTAAATCCATATTTTTACATAAATTGCTTGACATGATCCCCAATGAATATTGAACTTGTTAATAATGATGGTTTTTGAAAGTCCAAATCTATATGAATTTGATTGTGGTTTCTTGATTGATCAATCAATAAAAAAAAAAAATTAACCCACTTAGTGTAGATTGTGGTTTCTTGATTGATCAATCAATAAGAAAAATTTTTAACCCATTTAGTGTAATACTATATAGCCACAAGGACATTATTATATCTTTTTTGAGATGGCCGATATAGTTTATAAATTATATTCATTTTACATCCTCTAAATGTCATGGTTAAGTTTTTCGATGGCATATGTTGCATTGGACAAAACTACTAGCATTCTTGACACCCTTTTACATATCTAATGCAATCATTGTTTATTCCTGTCTAATAAAGTTATGGTTCATTATACTTATTTTATCGTGATGTTATAATAATGAGCTATATAAAGTCCTCTATGAACTTGACCAATAAAGTGTTTTTAGGTCTTAAGCATTTAAACAAGACTCTAGTTTTATGTTTCTTGTATAATATATTTTCTAGGAAGACGTAATTAGTTACTTTTAGCCTAAAGGATCTTGAAACATTCTATAAAATGTCTTGTAAAAAAGTTTAATTATCTATTTCTAATTCTTTTGAGAATCAAGAATATTGATATTGTTAAGACCTTTCAACATGTACTTAATATTTTAATAAGAGATTTAATAATTAAACAGGTCTTCTTCAAATATATATATATAAACATGCATTCCTAGCATGTCATTCTAGTTGGATGATTATGGATATATCTAAGCTAATTCTCTTGAGTCAATGAAAGGAATTTTAGATGTTCAAATCCTAGGTAGCTACTGCAAATCTTCATAAGTCCTTTGCAAACACCTTAGTTGTAGCCTTCATCACCATTTTTTTTTCTCCTTAGATTATAAAATAATTTATTATCTAAATTCTTACATTTATAAATTACATAATATTTATGTAATTAATTAAGAAACCTTGAGTTATATTCCAGAGGAATTAGATGAGAAAATAATTTACAATCTTGAAGAAAAATAGAGATAAAATAAGACACACAAACCCTATTTAATATCATGATATCTTACATCGCATGCTTCAATTTTAATTATTGGCATTATGTGATACTATAAAATAAGATTTCTAACACTTATAAATATTCAAACAAATCTAATTTGATAATTTCCCAAACAAAACAAATTTTATTTAACATAAATTCCTTGAAAAATATTTTTCAAAATTTAATAAGAAAATTAATCACAT